GATCGAACCAATTTTCGATAACTGGCACAAATACTTCTTTATCTCACATTAGCTGCTCTCAAAGAGAAAGACTTCTATTATCTAATAAAAATTACAATTGTATCATATGTATATTTTGTATCGTACAATCTTCTTTTAATATATATCAATTTACTCTAGAGAATAATAGTTTAGAAATTTTCCTGTTGTATAGTTGAAAATGTCAAAAGAATAATAATGATAAAAAACGAAAATACAGTGAAGTAATATCTTCTATTACAAATAGTTCGTATTGTCTGGAGTGAAAGCAAACAACAACAATAATCATAGAAACACAATACACAATCTAATTACATTAAATCATTTTTTTTACAGATTTCATTCATTGATAAACACGCTTTTTTGTTATAGAGCATACGTATTATAATTCTGTTTCATGAAAGGGTCCTTTTTTTATTTAATTTTTGATGGACAAGACAGTAAAGTTTGTATAACAGCTAAATGTACACAACCATAAATAAGTAAAAATCATTTTTGACAGAGGTTATCAAAAATAACCTGTTTGCTGTGAAAATTAATTTATTCGTTTACAACCTTTATTTAAAGAGCGTTATTTTATCTAAAAGAATACATAGTATATTTTTCAGTCGTTCATGTTTCAACGTTTGTTAAGCATGCTTGTTAAAAATTGATAAATGCTTAGAAAAGGACAAAACTGAGAAATACTTTTTGTAATACTACGACTGAGTTTTTTCTCATGTGAGATACTTTTTTGTAATCTTCTACGGATGTCACGCAGGGCAATTAGAAATATAATATCCACACCCTTATAATCAATAGGGATGGTGTTCGGTGTTGTTGGTTATATGTATAAAACATATGTTCGACTTGAAATCTTATATTATGTATTTGAACATGAAAAAGGTTACTTAATGTCTCTATGATTATTTTATGTTCTAATTAGATACTGAAATAAAAGAAAGGCTACTATAAAACGAATGGTTACTCATTCAAGATGAATCATTTTTATTTCATCATTATGAGTAATCAATTGTGTTTATCAGTCGTTAAAAATCGAAGAATAATCATGCAAGACATTTCGAAGGTTAATTATTTCCACAACAGTACATGTAAAATTGTTTGGTTTTGAAATCAATTAATTGAAAGATACATTATGAAAATAAATAGTGGAACCGTTTGATGGAGTGATCCTTATCAAAGTTGTAGTTCTTCTAGCTCGTCTACTAATAGATGAAGGTGTGATTGTGTTAGCACGTGGATTACTGGCGAAGTTGTTTTAGCTTTGATAGTGTCTTTTTTTTTGTTGTTATACCAGTTGCTGTCATGACTGTAAACAATAAACAGCTATCAAAATGTATTAAAGAGTTGGAAACTGAATCTGTGCTTATCAATGTAGTTGTAGTTAGCATAATGCATAATATCAATGATATGGCTGATGAAGAAAGCAGTAAACGAGCATTTTAAATGTTATAACAATCATTAGTAGTACAATCACTTGTTAATATGCATGCAACACATGTTACATGTACCGCATGCTGATATATTTTTGAATGATGTTAGTGTTGCTGCAATGTTATTCACTAGTGATATGCAAGTGAGCAAAGTTCCGTTTCGAGCTATTTTAATGCAGGCAGAGAATATTAGAAAGGATCAACATCAGGACAAAATACAGGATAGTCATATCACCAATGGTTTCGATTTCTATTTGAGCTTATATTTTATCTCGTATGCAAATGAATGTCTCTTGAGTATAAATGAACTTCACAAGAAAAGAGTGTAAGTAGAGAAGCAATAGAAAAATCTTCCACCTGTCGTAATAAATGAATGTTTATTAATTATATAGAGACAATTGTAAAAGCATGAACTGTTATGACCACCTTAAATAAAATAAACTCAGATGTTACGGTTATAAAATTTGAAAAATCAATCAGTTGTGTTCAAGAATATAGAAGCTAATGCAAGATAGTTCATCAAAAAATAAAAAAGACAGGAAATAGAAGTTACTAGAAGGATAATAATTAAGTTTTCTCATTTACGAAAAGATTGATATTTTTTGTGCAATTAATAATCAAATAAATTCATTAATATTGAGAACACAGGATACTTTTTCCATCCCGTTCTAATGACATCTAAACTAATCTCAGACAATAAAAATGATGCTCTTTTTATTTGATTACACTCTGATTTCGAACGAATATTTTGATTTTTCCTAATTTTTTAGAATTTTTTCCAGATCTCTAATATCGATTAAAATTCATTGGTCAAGTTTTATTAATTGACATTGACAAATCTTTTTTAATCGATTAGAAAGAAAAAAGAATCAAAATTAACGGCTAAAAATTAGATTATAATTGTGCCGATATTGATGACACGGTTCGATGATTCTCCTTCTTTCCCTGTCTGTTCTCTTTCCGTTGTTCTAATATATCTCTCTCCTGTCTCTCTTCTATCTCTCTCCTATATATATGTGTGTNGTCATCTAAGTTGTTTACATGTTTTATATAAATTTCTTCGGTTCAAGAATGAAGGACATTTTTATATGTGGACATTTTCTAAAGGACTTTTTTTATCAAGGACATTTACATTGGAGGACATTTTTAAAAGGACAAGATTTAAAGAACCTTTTCTTGAGGGACAATAACTGAGGGACATTTCGTCAAGGACTTTTTCCAAAGGACGTTTGTGACATGATTCTATATTGATATAGAAAACCTAAATTCTGCTAAATAAACAAGCTATAACGAACCGACATTGAACGCAGTAAACCAATACAAAAGAAAATGACTCAAGTTGCCTATAAGACATTACTGTATTCAATTCTGTTGAGTCTTGTGAACACGATTTAACTCGTAAAATCAACGGTGAGACTAACAGAGAAACGCGTAAGTTTCGAATAAATTACGCGTTATAACAGGTTGAAGATAACGTAATGTGTTTTAGCTTGTTTAAAATTTTGTAATGACGCTGTTTTAACGATAACATTTCGTTTAAACGGCGTTATTACGAAAGCTTAACGCATTTAAACATGTTTCGTTAAAAGTATTCTCTGCTTGGGTAATTGTGAAATTTTGTATAACTTGAATAACCGATTGTTCATATTTTTGTTTCGACACAACAAGATGATTTCTAGTTTTACTTCTTTTGCCATTTTATAAAGATTTTATATGATTGAAACTTGATTTGCAATAAACACTGGAAACAAGCAGAGGAAAGATATCGGAATTCATTTGTATAAACACAACGCACTTTCACGATCAAAAAGATGAGCTAAAAGATTATTACTTTTAACGATAACAGTTATTCTGTTGCTTCTATGCTTTTTTTGTTGATTCATGATATCGCTAAAATTGAACTTGTCAGAACTGAAAATAAGGAGAAAATCTTCAAAATCAGTTCCTGAAATCAGAAGATTTCTTATAGAGAGAAAAGTGGGAGAATCAGAAGTTTCCTGGTCAAATTAGAAGATTTGGTAGGCATACTGATAATAAAAGTCATAGTATATTCCTCGTATATTTACCATCTCTTATGTTGTACATTTCTTTTTTCCCAGATATGTTGCACGATTGTTCAGAGAGAAAATTTTAACACGATATGTCAACAATATGTGATTTTTAACCATAAATACAGGGTGATTGAAAACTAACTCCTTATTTTAAATTTTTTATTGCTCTCAAACAACGAAAGATATCGTCCTGCTTTTTTCACCATTTTGAAGCATGAACTATGGCATTTTATTCTAGATAAAACAAATCGATTGATCGTTTGGCTGTCGAAGAGTAAACCCGAATTTTGTCTTGACAACATCTGGAAAAAACCATTATTTTTAGTAGTTTATTATTCTGATAGTAGAACTAGGATGTGAGTGTGAGTGTTTGTATAGATGTCAGGTGTGCATGTGGATGTATATGGGAAGTTATTATGTGTGTTTGGGCAATGCAAAAATGTTCACCCAAACCCATATACTCACATCCTGATTCCAGCACAAGAATAATAAACTACTAAACATAATGAGTTTGTTCCAAATGTTGTCAAGACAAAATTCGGGTTTGCTCTTCGATAGCCAAACGATCAATCGATTTCTTTCATCTAGAATAAAATGCCATAGTGCATGATTCAAAATGGTGAAAAAGTAAGGACGACATCTTTTGCTGTCTGAGAATAATAAAAAATTTAAAATAGGGAGGCACTTTTCAATCACCCTGTGGAATATCAAATGATACAAACAGAACATTGATATTGAATACTTTTTGACACTTATTTTTTAGTCTTATTATTGGCAGATTAGAATTCGCAGTATTATTGTTTAAAATATTTTCCTTTCAATATTCTCAAAAAAAAATAACATGCACAGGATATCCAGGAAATCACTAGACAGAAAAATTTGAATATCTTCGGCATATTTCGACTATATGGGTTGATATTTTTATCAATGATAAAGCAATGTTCATAGTTCATATTCATTACAGAAACATTCTCAAAAATTGGTTTTACATAGTACAACTAACTTTAACAAAAGATCAATAACATTTCACAAGTTACGAAAAATTAATATTACAATTTGATCAACAGATTCTTGCTGCTAATGTCTGAAATTTTGAGGATACACAAAGTAATAAAACATATGTCTTTAGCATAAATATGAGCCCGAGAGACACTAGAGTAAACAATTAATTGAAAAAGTGATATGTCGTTAATTCTTCGTCAAGGGAATAAATATGTTACTTTTTCATAACTTGTGAAAGGTCACAGTTTTTGTTAAAATAAATTGTCAATACTTCAGAACAATTACTGGCAACGTTTCTCTTATGAAAGTGAGCTATGAACATGACCTTATCAGTGGTAAAAATATCAGCCCATATAGCCGAAATATGGCACCCATATTCAAGTTTTTGTTTGTCTAGTCATTTTCTGGACACGCTTATATTATGTATCCTACTTGAATTTCTAAAATTTATATACGACTTATTTTAATTGATGTAAAAAACAAAAAAAAGATTGTTTCATTGTTCATTTAAAGAATTTGTATCCAAAGTTTCATATGAACTATGTGTACTATCTTCTTTCCATTTAAGTAGACTCCATAAACGCAAACCCATTTGAGTATTGGTCTTCTGTATTGAATCTTGTAATGGTGGATTCAAATTCTGTGACTGACGACGATAATGATGATGATGACTATTTAAACCTGAAGAGAGTTTATGTATATTTCTTATCTGACAATAATTATTGTGGCTTTTGTTAAAGCACATGCAGTTTGTTTTAAAAGCATACAAAAAATTAAAAATAGCATGAATAAATTAGATTATTTCATCATCGTCACCAACATCTGATCGATCATGAGTAGTTAAATGAAAATTCAATCCCATATTAAATGGAAGCATGCAAAGTAATGAGCGTAGAGCTGTGCTAGCATATGAACCTGATGAATTTCTATCATCACTTATAACAGATGCATCATCACTTCCGTTTTCTGATTCCATTGCGCGAGTACGTTGTTTAAGAAAAAGAGCTGCTTCTTGATCAAATTTTGCACGATTTCGAATTAACTAAAATAAGCAAAGTAACTACAAAAGAAAGCAGAACAAAAACAGTGAAATTTACTTCATATACTTTTGGTTGAGCATGCTTATTTTGTCTTCTCAGACGTACTTCTGACACAGGAACATCACGCATTGATGCACGATTTTTTAAAAATTCAATATTTGTTAATGGTACAAAATATTCACCAATAAAAGCATCCTCTTTCACTATATCTTCATCCCAAACACTAAGACGTAAAACCGCACCCGGAGTATGTACAATATTTACTGGAAGACGATACCTTTACACAAAAACAACAAAAGAATAAACATTTCATTGGCAATGAAATATCATTCAGCTAAAAAACAAATCTACCATTGAAATAGTTGATTAAATTCTGGATCAAGTGTTCGTTTTATTGTAATTGTTTTATGTTCTTTTGGACGTTTTGGATAAAGTGTGGATGGTAATAATTCAAGGATAACATATGGATCTGATGCACCAAAATAATCCATTCTTGGTAAATCTCGGCAAGAAAGAACTTTATATAGAAAACATATATATATATATATCTTTCACCCTAAAGATAATGAAACAAGTCAACATACTTTGAACATAAATAGTAATAAGATCATTGACGATTTCATATGCAGTATGAAAAATAATTATACCATTATCTGTTGAACATTCATGCTTAAAAATTAATAAATCAATAAATAGAAAAAGAATTTCGACAAAATTTTCAAAGAATATTTACAGGAGAAGGTGTTTGAGTTATCTCTCGGAAATAAATTAATTGTAATTGTTCAGTTGATAATGCAAATTGTTGAAGTGTTCGTCGAAAAGTTGTTATTTCTTCACATGATGGACCAGGTATATGTTGTTCTTCACGACATACTCTTTCAAAATATAAAGCCAAATGACCAAATGATTGTAAAACACGTTCATAAAAATCTGGAGACTCTTGTAATGGTAATAATTCCCTTAAACATTGTAGTGCTTTTAAACGTATGGCACAAGCAACACGAGAATATTGAACTTTTTCAAGACCTGCATATAATTTACGAAGAATTTCTTGATCAATATGTTGATTCATATCATTCATAGGCTATAAATTATATATGAAAAAAAAATCTTATTCACTTACAGCATACTAAAAGACGAGGCAGTGATATTTTAGTACCATATAGTAAGCTAGAGGAAACCTTCTTCTTAAATACAATAATAGAAGAACAGTAAGCTCTTTCTTCGTATGATATTTTATCATACTTAAATTAATACCATTATAATAAAATTTCTACAAGACTTGTTTGTCTATCGTATGTGATGGTTATACTATTGCCTATTTAGTTGATATTTTTTCAATAGTTTTTGACAGAAACAAGATAGAAAGCTGTGGTTTTCATCGTTCGAGAGAGAAGATGAAGATGCATCGAATCTTATAATACATCTTTTCATAATATATTGTCTGATGTCTTTTTAATCAGTTTTAAAAGTGTTGCCAGCATGGTTTCTTATGAAAAAGAAAACAGAAAAAAATTTTCACCATAATTGTCAGAAAAAATCACTTAAAGCTTCAATCAGAATGCCTATAACTACTCAAAGTTTAATTCGAAACATCTGAACCTTGTGAAGTTTTATTGATCTTTCATCAACGGTTTTAAAAATACACTCAACAGTTGATAACTCACTGTAAACACCGTACGGGTACGTGTTTTTTCAAAAAGGTCGATTGAAAACCTTAAAAAAGATCATGCCAAAGAAAATGATTATACGATTCGATGTCTCTTTATCTCCTCTTTCGAACGATGAAAAATGCAGTTCTCTATCTTGTTTCTGTCAAAAGTTATTCAAAAACTATCAACTAAATAGCCATTAATGTAGCCGTCACATATGATAGAAAAACAGGTCTTGTAGAGATTTTATGATTATGGTATTAAGTCAAGTATGATAAAATGTCGCACAAAGAAAGAGCGTTTTTTTCTATCATTGTGTAGAAAAAGAAAATTTTTTCAAGCGTACTATACGGTACTAAAATGCCACCACTAATTTCGGTATACCCTTAATATTTTTTTGTTTATTTTCTTACATCGACTTTGTTATGTTTTTCATCTTCATAGTATTTGGAAATTTTATCTTTCAAAGATACATAAAATAATGTAGAAGCACATTCAAATATAAGTTTAATAACATTATTCATTTTATGTTCAGCTGTTGATATTAAACGTTCAAGTGTTACTTTTGTTTGTTGAAAATCTGGTGAATCATAGTGTTCAATCATATTATCAATAACAGACGAGAAATTTAATAAACATGGTAAAGATGAAAGAAGTTTTTGCTTAACATATTCAATATCATTAACTAAGATACATAACTAAAGTCAATAAGAATAAATTAAAAACAAAAAAGAAAAAAAATTTTTTTGACAAACTTTTTTCGGAACATCCAATGATTGTGTGCAATTTAAATCAGTCGAAGATTTATCATTCAATAATTTATGTGCTGTACGTCTTGCATAATGTTGACATTGCTCACATATTGTATTTGTTAATTTAATAAGAGCTGTATAACGTATGTCTATATCAGGATAATCAATTGCTTCCCATTCTTGACAAAGCTAAATTAATTCAATTTATATACAAATATAAGACGACAGATGAAAAATATACCCTATTGCATGCATTAACAGCTGCCATAGATGATAGAGAATGTCGGATGCAATCTTCATCAGGAAAAGTCTTAAAAATAGTCATTTTTTTTGTTTTCTTTTTCATATCATTCGCATATCATTTAATCATATAGAGTAAGAAAAGATGGACTTCAAAATAAGCATTTACGATTATATGAGATTGTTGGCTATCGAAATGTCACAGAAATAATGCAAACAAAGAATTGCATCGTCTTAAGTAATGTCTGCGCCAAAATTAAAGTGGAGTGGGTGTAATCTTAATAAATGGACAATGGTAACATATATTGAGCAGCGATTTTCAGCAATCGAAAGAGCAGAACTGCGGGCCTCTTTTTATTGGATACTATATAGGAGAAAATTATTTAAAAATCCATCACCTTCGCAAAAATTTCAAAAGTATTCATGAAAACGGTGTTTTATTCTCTGAAAAGTCTGATAACAAGTCAGAAAATTTAATAAAAATCAACAGAATTCCATAAAATTTCATCTTACAGATAAGTGATTTTGTTTGCTCAACATTGACATATGAAAGTATAATAATATAAGTCGTGCCTTGAACAATATATTTGAGGGTGCTTTATTTGGAGTACATGCATAAATTGACATCGCCTTGAAATAGGGCATCGTTTCCGTGCATTTTTAAAAGAATTTTGCAAAAATAATGAGTTTTAAAATAAACTTGTCTTATATAGTATCAAGCAACAAGGCGTCTGAAGTTCTGCTCTTTTGATTGCTGAAAGTTACAAGTTGATAACTATTGTTATTGCCGAATTATTGAACTTACTTTCACCTCTCCTTTGTTCTGTCCCTGAAACTAGTTATAATGAAAGTTGCTAAACTGGTAGAGGTTAGTTAAGTAGAGTTTGCCGGTTTCAAAAGAACTGCAACCAAGAACCGAACTGAAACTCGAACAGATACTCGAACAGAAATTTGGAAAATTACTTTAGAACCGTTAAATCGTCAGATAGATACCAAAAACCTTAAACCTATGTCGCAAAACCTTCATTTTTTTCGTCTTCAGATTAAAGGTTTCAGTGTATATGTATAATATTGCTGTGTTTAAGGACTGAAATACGCAGCTGCTTTAATCTCAATAATTCAATAGCCGTAATTTGTCAAAATAGATTTAAAATTTTGTATTTATCTGATAATTTAGCAGATTCAGTTTCATGTAATATTTTGAGCATCAAACCGTAACCGCTTTTATCTTAATTATAGTAACAGAAATCGCAAAACGTCGACTATAAAGCCACCAGACCAAGCGAAATTTTGAAATTTTAGTCTAATCTGAGTCATCCATATAAGATTCCACCTGGTTAATAGTCTAGACCAGACTAAAGTTGTTCACTTGACTCATACGTTTTAGAAATCAAATGTACATGCCCTGTCTTATTACCCTAGAGTACAAATTCATTCGAGCCTAGCAACAAATTCTTGTAGTGGAAATCAATTTTGTGCTAGAGGGTTTATTTTGACTAATTGAAAAGCTTTTTTACATACACAACAATCGGATAGTTAGTTTTGCTTTCGTAATGTTGCAAAAATTGATTGTCAAATCTAAATGATCTTGCCTGTTATTATGAAAATATCTTATTCCATACATTTTCTTTTTCTTCTTTGTTGCATGTCAGATCGTACATTGTATTTGCTGTTATGATTAGACATTTTGATTGTGCGAAGTAATACTGATATAATCAAAAGCACTGTATTAATTCAAGTCATTCTATTATATTAGCTGTGTAAACAAGTAAAACAGATGGAAGTAGTACAGATTGTACAATATGAAAACGATGTATAAGATGAAGTTCCAGAAGAAAATATAATGGATTAAGTCGAAATGAAAGAGTCAAGAAGAAAAAGAGATTTAATGGGGAAATATTGTGAACTGATACGCATCGTTCGAGCTCACACTTTGATTGTAGCTAGGATTAATGATACATATTAACTAACTAAAACCATTCGTGCCATTATTGCTTGGTTTCAGAGTTATGAACAAAACAAATGTCATAAGAGATGGTGCTGCCATCTATGCGCATGTTTTTGTTCCTTTCATATCCTAGCCAGACCTCGAAATGGGCCGACCGGTCCGGACTTTATCTCTATTTTCATCACAGTTTTCACGTCAGAAAATAGAAAAAATCTGATTTTTTTAAAACTTAGAGTCCAGTTAAAAATCCATTGAAATCAAACCAGTTGAATAAAAAAGAAAGCTGATTTTTTCCAGTTTGAAAGTAGATTTTGATTGGTTTCAGCCTTTCTTAATCGAATTTTAAGAGAGAGTTTTAATTTACAAAACTGTATTAATGAATCAAAAGAGACTAAAATGAATTGAAATTAATCTTGCAAACTGAAAAAATAAATTTCAATCAGAATAAAATAGCATCATTTTAATAAATTTTTTCTCAAAAAATACTCGATTTTTTTCTGATTTTTCCTTAAAGTTTCTTAGATGGACTTTGGATCTTGCAACTGATTATAACGTGGAATCTCTATTTTGCAAACTGCGTGGAAGTTTTATATATCTTATATAAAAAACAGAATTTATTTAGTTCACTTATATTGTTCATCTACGGACAAACCTCAACACACTATCAAAAGCATTAAATAGCATGGGTTCCACTGAAATGTAACTAGGTTAACCACGTACTAAAATTAATAACAGAACTAAAAATGTTAAACGATCTCACTCTGTAAAATTGATCAGCGGGCTATCTTCTTGTGAAAGCGTGTGCTAATGGATGATAATCCTCAAGAAGCTCGAGTATCTACGAAGAAACATTAGCCTTTCTGTTTAATATGTAGTTTGACTTGACTCTAGTGTTCTTTTTCAAAACATTAACATTATCGGATTTTGTTCAACTGATGATCACTGTGATGATACAATTTTTACAATGTTATTATAAAGGATCATAGTGCTTGTGCAGTTTGATAGTGTAGAAATGCTTTTTGTAAAAGAAATATACTTTTAGTAGTGCCATTCTAAGTTGGGCCAGGCGGGTCATGCAAATTGATCGGTCGGACCGGGTCGAATCAGGCTCCGATAGAGCAGAAGTCAAGCAGGACAATCAAAAAATGGTCAGATCTCGAGGTCTGATTCTAACTATGATATTCTTTTTTCGGTTGAACTTTGAATTGTCAGCTTATGCCATTTGGTTCAACTGATAGAAGTATGTCCTAGTTAGGACATGAAAGCAACAAAAACATGCGCATACATGGTGGTACCACCTATTATGGCATTTGTCTCGCTCATAACTCTGAAACCAAGCAATAATGGCACTGATCCTTTTAGTTATTTAATATGTATCGTCAAACCTAGCCGCTAACAAAATGTGTGCTCAAACGATGCGTTTCAGTTCGGAATGTTTTGTCATATGTATTGACCTAAAGAAGCTACATTTGATAATGACGATGAAGCAGAGGCATCCATTGAAAATATTTTATCAAAATAGTATACAAATTATACAGAAAATAGAAGAAGAATTCAATGCAAAAGTAACTAAGCTAAACTTCGTAGGCCTCAATATAGCGCAACTATTTATCTGTTATATCATGCAGAGGGTGATAAAGTGTCTATTTATAAAACTGAAGGTGAGCACGATCATCATGATGAAAAAGTTCGTCATATTGATGAAAATGTTAAAAAATGTATCGAAAAACGATACAATCACTAGCGAGAACCCGTGCATATTACACGGTCGTTTGTTTTCATCACAAAAGCAAGCTTCTTTTTGGACGCTGATGAAACTGTTAAAGATATAGCAAGAGTAGGGGTGGTACCTTACTATTACTTTATAAAATAAAGATAAATGAATCATTTACCTCTACGAAATAAAGATAAAGTAAAGAAATAAAGGATTCTTTTTCCCAGCGATAATGATGTTGGAAGTCTCCTGGGACTACGGAAATCATGTTCAGAAAGATTTTATCCTAAAATAAATATATTTGTACTGAAAATAAGCCAATAGAGATGTAATATGAATTATTGTTTTTTTTCTAATATTTATCAGATTTCCTTCACAAAAATTGCGATAAAATCAAAACTAGTATCATAATTTGAATCATTATAAAAAATGGAGCTGACGGTGAGTATTTCAAAAATTTTTGAGATGTTTTTTGATCCTAAAATACCTGTACTCCCCCTCAGGATGGTTGAGTCAGAAATTCAAGTCCACAAAAACGCAATTTTTTGTTCTTTACATATTCTCCATTGTGTAATCTAGTATCATAATATGCTGAAGAACTTCTTTGCTGTCGGCGAAATCTCCTTTTGATAAAATTTATTTTTGGATCCAATTATACTGAGAGGGAGTACAGATATTTCAGGATAAAAAACCATCTCAAAAATTTTTGAAATACTCATCGACAGCTCTATTTTTTATAATAATTCAAATTATGATACTAGTTTTGATTTTATCGTAATTTTTGTGAAGGAAATCCAGTAAATATTAGGAAAAAACAATAAGTCATACTGCATCTCTACTGGCTTATTTTCAGTACAAATGCATTTATTTTAGGATAAAAATCTTTCTGAACATGATTTCTGTAGTCCTAGGAGACTTCCAACATCATTATCATTGCACTGAAAAAAATATTCGTATAGTAATGAACCCGTCAAAAGGGTATAACAGTCTTACATATACCCTTTAAGGGTTTATTCTGTGTAATAAACGCTTCCATAAACCTTTTCGACTGATAAACCCTCAAAGCATATTTCATACGTTGCAATTTTATAAACCCATTAGGGTTTAT